GCAGGGTTTAGGGCTGTTGTGCATAGGGTCGCTATGAGTCGGAAACGACTCGACGGCACATAACAACAACAACAACAGCCTATGGCTATGGCTTGCAAATAGAGAAATGTACAAACAGAAGACAAATTGACAAAAATTTAGTCTCTGTGTGTTTCAAAAACTTTTTCAACAGAATGAAAAAAAACCCTCTATAGACTGGGAAGACACATTTGATGATGAAATCTCAGACAAGGGTCTCATGATAAAAGTTTACAGAATATTACAGGTTTTCCACAAGGCAAAGGCTGATGACCCAATCACAATATGGTCCAAAGACATAGAAAGACATTTTACAAAGAAGACATTGAAATGACTAACACACATTAATGAATGATCCAAATCACAGGCCGTAAGAGAAATGCAAAGTAATGAGAGATCATCTCACCTTTTTAGCAGTAGCATAGTTTAAAAGAATAGCAAGCTAAAAGTAAGTGCTGGATAAGATCTCACATTCCCTGTTGTGGGAAGGTAGAATGGTGTAGCCATTTTGGAAGATAATTTGGCTTTTTCTCAAAATGCTGAACATAGAAATTCCATATAACTCAGCTAGTGCACTGCAAGGAATACAGAACTGAGAGACAAATGGAGATTTGTACACCTAGGGGGCTCTGGTGGCCTAGTGGTAAGAAACTGTGCTGCAATACTGAAGGCATGCATTTCAAATCCATTAGCTGCTCCGTGGAAGAAAGATGGGTAATCTCCCTCGCAATTTGGGGAAAAAAAATTGCGTTTGAAAACAAAAATCACTGGAGGGTAGCTATGGGTCATCTGTAACTCAATGGTACACAATAATATACCCGGAGCAGCGTCATTCACAAAAGCAAAAAAATGGAAACAATCATATATTTGTCACCAAATATATGGACTGGGAAATGATGGTACATTCATAAAATGAAATAATATGCAGCAATAAGGAGGAACGATTTCATATAATAATATATAATATGGGAGAGTACAGAGAAAGCATTATGCTCAGTGAACTAAATCAATCTCTTAAGAACAAATACTACATAGAAATATTAAAAAACAGAAGGATAATTAGAAAGATGTATATAAAAGTCCAAAAGGGGAAGAAGCAGGAGAGACTAGGATAAGAGGGGAGCACATCATTAGGATAAAAGAGTTGGGGGGTGGTGGTGAGGAAGGGAGAGTGTGTAAAGGCATTAGGAAAGATACAATGGGGACCCAAAAATACAGGGTAATAGCAGGCA